GTATACAGCACCACCGCGATCTCTCCTGTAGCTCGCGCTGAAGCTCCGCCGAGAGTTGCCGACGACGACGACGCGGTGCATTGACCGCGCTTGACCACACGTCATCGAATGAATGACGTCACTCTTGCTACTGTGCACACTTTATATTATTACACACACACACACACACACACACGTGCTTTTCTACGTCATGCCCTGCTGAGGATCCCTCCTGTATATGCTGCTGCAGCTTGCAGCTGAAACATATATATGTGTCTCGTCATCTAACCCCCCACGTGGGGGGTTTGTTTGTTTCGCTCATACGTCACACCCCCTTCCCCCGTCTGGACCAGATCGTCTGATTTTTTTTTTTTTTTTTTTTTTTTTTCACGTATATTGACACTCGTGGGCCAAAAGAAAGCCATCTCGATAATTTCTCGTACGAGAAGCGCTACGCGCGTCCGTCAAAAGTGCTCGCGATTAACGGGCGTGATTAGAGACGTTACGGATAATGATTTAGAATAACGAGGGGGGAGGGGGGAAACAAAGCATAGTTCCAAGCTAGCTTTGTGTATTGAACATTATTTTTTTTTTTGTTTTTTTGTTTTTTATATCTGTTTCATATAGGATAGCGGTACAAAAGCGAGTACAAAAGTTACCAATTTTACATGTCCATGTTAACGAGATTGAGCCTTTTCAACGAGAGAAATTGGGATGGCCCTTTCCTTTCCCTCCTCCCACCCCTTTGGGCGCTCATCCATACGTAATTTAACACTATTTTAAAATGTACTTGTGTACACTGATTTTGACTCTCAAAAAAAAAAAAAAAAAAAAAACATACTGGCAACCACAATATATTGCTACAGCAGTAATATAATACACGGGCACACGTCACCGAAATCCTAAACAATTAAAGAATATCAGAGGCCATACATATACAACGTGAATTTAGTGCGATTTGCTTTATTGTATTTAAAAAACAAAACAAAACAAAACAAAAAATTCACACAACTATGTACATGTGCGATTGTGATGAGTATGAGCTTACGCTGATATATAGCTATTAGACAGTATACCTACTTATACTTGGGTAAAAAAAAAAAAAAAAAAAAAAAAATTGTGTGCAATGGTTGAAAGCACCGAAAGGGTGGAATATAGTACAGGGGATGAGCGACCAGAGAGCTCAAATGCACTATATTTTATAAATATGCTGTAAAACTGCTGGTGGAGGGACGCAAAATGAGAGGGTCCATATCAGGGAGGTCGTGCATTTCTACCTACATATACTTACATGCATGTAAGTATATTAATATGGCATATCCCACGGGATTGGCATGTGTATAGGTATATACAGACAAGCAAGAGCAGCTTGCATAGGTAAACCGCGAGAAAGTTATAAGCAGGCGCTGCAACTTTCTCCCGGTTCGCGCTTGCAGCTACATATATATGTATATATATACGTATGTATACGTTGTATTAGGATAAGAGCGCGGGTCAGAGCCACAGCGGGCATCGGCCTTTTCCTTCCCGGCTCCTCTCTCGCCTTTCTATTCTCCCGCGCCACGACTTTGCCACAGCTGCAGCCCCCTCGTCGTCTATGATACTATGCTCGCTCTCTCTCTCTCGACTCGATGCGCGCGAGAATCGTGCAACCTGATGGGTGATGCAGCAGTTTTCCCTACAGGGATACGTTATATATACATACATACAAGGCCTCCAAGGGCCCGATCTATATAAATATACACCGCTTCTCTAGATCATCGGATCGCTCTTCCTTATCTATACACGTATATTGTGTACAGGTGGAGGCTTATATTCATCAATCTTCGGGGCTTATTGAATTTCCCTTATTTTCTTCTCACCTTTGTTTCTCCCCCCCTCCCCCCCAACTCCCTGGCTCGTGCACTTGTACAAATTTTCACACGCGCCATCACTCTGATGTGCACGTATACCTATACATTATATGAAACTTCATTCCTTATGCACGCACTATAAAAAAAAGGGGGGGGGGGGTGAATCGGGCCGATTGCCGAGAAGGGCTGGATCGGAAAACCATGATTTGGCAAATTTTAACTCGTTCGGTGCTCCCTTGTTGGAAAAAAAAAAAAAATAAATAAAAAATAAAAATAATCAATCGAGCAACTGAAAACCGTAGAAATTAAGAGAAGGGCGCACGATGTAGGAATAAAATAATACATAAAAGTGCTGGAGCGTGTACACGTATGTATATGTATAATATGATATGGGAAAGAGTCTCTGCTCTCTGCAGTCATGAGTATATAGCAGCACGAGCCGACGAGAGCGGAGAGTGAAGGTGTCCCGGTTATATGTGTCAGGGTTTACGTCGTCGATGGCATAGAGCGCGCGCGACCTTGACTCGGGCAGTCCGGCTGGTCTGTCTGGCTCGTGTGTATATTATGTACATCAGGCCCGTGGCCGTAAGTATACATATACCCATACAACAGTTGTCTCTATATCACTGGGTGAAGGAGAGCTCCTTCAGGGTCATTACGAGCATATACACACCGGCAGTGGTGATGCGTGGTAAAATATATGACCGATCACACTCGGCTGGAAGAAATAGCATATGCCGCGATTAACTTCCTAAACGACGATGAAAACGCGCTCATCGGCATCATCTGACTTACCGACAAAAACACGTTTGCTGCTACGCGATAATATTATATTATTATTATTATTATGTGCTCATCGTATATAATTGTTTCGCCGCCGACTCTACTCGCTGTTATGGCGATCCGCGGTGTGACTCCCTTCCTTTTCTCCACTGGGCAGTGGAGAAAATTTTTTAAATAAAAAAAAAAACAAGCTTACGTATACCTGTACCCGCACGTATCTCCAACATCCAATACCGATACATGGGTAAATTTACGCAGCCATTATATACGCATATATGTATGTAAACTGTCGCGCGTATATACAATCAATATATGTATGTATATATACGGATAATGATCTGCTCTCTGTTGTGTAGTAGCCTTGTTATTCGAAGCCTCCAAAGCCCGAGCGTGTCGCGCCTTCTTTCCGCATTATCGGCGCTCTCCGGGACTCCCGAGAAGAACATCAGCCAGCAGCGACGCAATATGTTACATCAACGCCGATCCTACCCTTGAACAAGCCGTACTTACTCAAAAAATCACGTATTTAATTGCGTCATAGTTGCTAAAAATTAATTTACTTTACCTTGTATACAGGTGTACTTATAATATTAACTGTGTTTTACTGCGGAGTATTCTAAGAGCCGTTGCGACCACGCACCTTGATTTCACAGGCAAAACATTCGTGGTGTTAAAACAAAAATACCCATATTAGTACTGAATTCGATGTTTCGGTCGTCTCTTGTTTCAAATGGTTATTGTCGCTGCCGTATTAGTGATAATCATCATCATCCCGATGATCACTATATACTTGACTAATAGATCGCCTCGTTGATTGTTGGTTGTTCATTGCTGCTGCACTCGACCATATAATATAAACGAGGTTGCGAGGTTGACATTGCAATATACTTACCCACTGATTGCAAGTAATGCGTTATTTTCACGAGCAAGTGTTTATGGAGTAAAGCCCGAATCTCGGGAATCTACACGTAATCGTCACCCGAGAGGAACAGAAAATAAGATTACGCTATACGAGGTGTGAAAAGATAAAAAAAAAAAAAAAAAGGGCCCAAATTTAAGTGCAGCTCTTATTTAACATCACCGACCCCCACCCCAACGGGTGCGCTCGCTCAATGTGAACGACCATAGCAGCCATGAACTTTCGCTCACCTTGTTCACGCCAACTTGAGCCCCGCGCCGCCGTACTGTTGTTACCGGCGTGTATATACATATATATATATATACTAGGCGCGCGAACGTAATTCGCGGGGGGGGGGGGGGCTCACGCTCTTACACACCAATCGTCCTATTCCAAGTGACGATCGCAAACTCTTTTTTTTATACATGTAGATATGAGATTCGAGTTTTTTCGACATTGGGAGCTTGTGCCTCGCAAAGCACGGGAGTTTATAGTTTGGAAGCACCATGTGGAGAGCGCCACTCGAATTCAAATAAGCGCGGAGATCGAAGCTCATCGTTACGTATACATATATCTGTTAATTTTGATGCTTATATTAAAAATACAATGCTACGTGGACAAAAGTCGGATTCCGCGAGTGCGTCACGTGTGTGTGTACTGATTCCCCAAAACCTCCCGAGTCATTAATTAATGTACGCGCTATTTCGGATCGGCATTCCCCGCGATGATGCGTGTTTTTCAAATTCCCGACCGTATAGTAATAGTTTACCAAAAAAAAAAAAAAACACCGTGCGACTCGTAATGAGATTCCAAGTTATAATACCATCAGCAAGTGGTGGTGATTTTATTTACGATCGCGAATCCCTTCATTTCTTAAAATAACATTCAAAAACAATGTTTCAGCGATACCGATGAATGTGAAGAAGCCGATCTGGATTCCCTTGGTTGTCAATCCTTCCGCATTAATAATGCATCATAGGGTGGAGATGGCGAGCGCATCGTGAACTTGCCCGAGCCGAAGGTCGCGTGCGTATATTATACTGCACGCGCTTCCGTTTCGGCCGTCACGAGCAATGCAACCATCGGACAACGCAACGGGGGGGGGGGGGGAGAAATGAAGAAAAAAAAAAAAAGGTTTTATCGCTCTCAGCTACGTATCTTCGCGGTGTACCTAGTACAAAACACACAATAATATGGTTCGACTAGAAAATCGGCTTGCAGATCGGTAGGTCGGGGAGGGTAGAGGGGGGGGGGGTACGTGGTATATATATAATATCGTATAGCGCTTCGGTGGCCGTGGCTATGGCCTTACGCCGCGGCGACTCCCCCTTCACGGCAAGCCTTCGCCGCGTCACACAGCTGCGGAGGAGGAGGAGCGCCTCTCTCTCTCTCTTTCTCTCTCTTGCACATGATGTATAGACGACGTGGCTTTGCGGATGAGGAGAACCTAGCTAGGATAGAGAGCACAAGTGGCGTCGGTGCTCCGTTGTCGGTCGGTTGGTGCTGTTCGGCCGCGCTGTCGCTCCTATACATGTATACAGGCACTATATAAATATACACGACACTCTACTCTCCCGCGCTAATCGCTCGCGGTGTGTCCGGATCTACGACATGTAGTTTCAGCCCACACACGCTCTGCAGGTGTGCATGAGTGCGCAATCGGCGTTTGCTTCGCGCCCGACGTCGAGCGATCGGACCAACGGAGAAAATCGGCAAGGAGGACGCGGATGAAGAAGAAGAAGAGGAGGAGGCCAAAGTGACGCAACGTGCAGCCCGTTGTTGTGTGTATATATATATAAACCGTGTGTTGTTGCAACAACGCGCGCGCACGTGTGCTCGTCGGCCATCGTAATCATCGGTCGTGCCTCCGCCCCCCCTCCCCTGGGCAGTAGAGGTGCAGTGAAGCAGGTGTGTGTCTGTGTGTGGGAGTTTTGTTGTGTGAAAGAAGAAGAAGAAAAAAAAAATACAACAACGACAAAGAGCCGCGGTGTGTTTCGGCAATGATTGTTTGATTTGCCGGGCTTTATAATACAAAAGTTTAATAACACGTTATTATACAACGGAGCGGTTTATTGGGCTCGGGATTGAGCGAAATCGGTGCAGTGCTCGGGTTCCTCGGCGTGTAAGTGGTCGGCCCTCCAGCGGATCGGCTGTACAGGGAGGGACACCCTGTCCCCCTTCCTCTCCTACGGCTCGCCCTGTGTGACCATCGCATTGATCCCTTTGATTCGCTTCGTCTTCCGGAGGTAAGTTGCGGTGTGATACGCTTTTTTAAGCGGATAAGCTCGGGTGTACATAGGCTGTAAGGTTGCCGATGTAGCTGCGCCAGCGGTGTTTTTTTTTTTTTTTTTTTTTTTTCACTACACCGACTTGGCATACATCCATTAAATGAGACACAATTTGGACAATTTGCTGTTACATTTCGACGCGATTCGCAATGCTCGTCAGCCTAAAACGTCCTGACCTTTACCCCTCGTCTCGCCAACTATCGCCCTTTTTTCCCAACTACTCGATTTTATTACTCTTCATTCACCCTTTCGCATAAATTATTATTAATTTTCACTCAAGGATATTCGCGGCGGCGTAGCAGAGGCCAGACCTGATGTAGGCATATTTTACGCGCGTGAAACGTTTTCGTTTTCCTACGTACGCACGTGCCGGTACTTTAGCTCGTTTGAATATCAATCAAGTGCGGGTATAACCCACCCTTTTTTTTCTTTCTTTTTTTTTAAGGGAGGATCGTTAGACTGCATAGTAAACAGTAAGTACGCTGTTAACCCATGCCTAACATTTTCAATGAAACTGGAAAAGGAAGAAGATATGATTTTGCATGCGCGCGTCAATGAATAAAATTAAAAAAAAAAAAAAGGGATAAGCGCAAAAATGGGGGTCCGATCTTATAAATTTCAAAGGTCCTTCGATATACTTGCTCGATTGGCACTTTTTTTTTTTCCTTCCTTTTTTCCCGATAAATCCGATCGACGGAGATCTCTCGACTTCTGTTTTGCAATCGCGGCCTCGCGCGACCTTGTCCTTGGGTATGTATAGCTGCGCGTAAACTCGACAATGCGAACGGATAGCTCATTGCTCGTCCATTCAATCGAACGTTCATTTTTTTTCTTTACAATATTGAGGCTTTTTCGAAAAATATTTTTTCTCCGTACAAGCAAGAAGGGGGGACAGCGAAAATCCGCCGAAAAAAGGCGATTATCACAGAGGACAAGCAACGCGGATGTGTGCATACCTGCTATATACGTGTATGATGTACCACATTAGTGTTAGCTGCATCAAAGACGCTCACTGCAGCAAGTGTATATACTTACTCGGTAGAAATATCGCACGTGGCTCTCGTGCGCACACCTATATATTATTCGAGTATTTTTGGCTAAAGCTAGGCCTTCGGGTCTTAAAACCATCCTTGCCTATACCTATAACGCTCCTCCTCCTCCTTCTTTGCCCTCTCCCTCTCTCGCTCGGTGCATTTTACAATCTTTGATCAGTTTGCATTGCTGACTAACGCTCGTGTAAAAATAATCATTGCGATAAAGAAAGAAAGAAGAAAAAAAGAACAAAATATTATTTTTGCTTCGAAACATCATAACATGAGTGTGTATGTAATATACACTTTTTCAGCCTATGTGCATAATATAACATGTATAATTTCTAATGCATGTGTCCCATGTGTATATATTATTTCGTAGGTCTGAAACGACGATGAATTAGTGTGGTTTTATGATTGATAAAAAAAAAAAAAAGAAGGTATGTTGCGTGTAAAAATGGTAAAACATAAAATAGGATTTTGGGAACAGGGAAGGGAAAGACCTGAAACGCGTGTACATGCCGACATGCGTCGCGTATAAACACAGACAATAAGCGAAATCCGGTTCTTATCGTTACTTCATCTGTCCATCGGCTATCATCTGCAACCTTGTCTCAAAGCCGCCGAGCAAATAATCCCCTTTCTCTCTCTCTCTCTGTCTTTTCTAGTGCGCTCGTTAATCTCGTTGATTTCGCGCACACGTGTGTATAATTATACTAACAACAACAACAACGGCAAAAATCCCGCTTACGCGCAAAATTACACGTAGATTTGTGTGTATTTTGGGCGTACAAATACTTTATGCTTTTTTCGTGCCAAGATAAATCCTTGAGTTTGGTCGCGTGTACAGTAAAATTAGCGAGTGGCCTCTGAAGCACCTCTTCAAGTGCCGCACGCGCTCAATTTTATATACCGTCACCTCGTCGTATAATAATACACCTACACCCGCTCTTTGTGCTCTCTCGCGAGAGCTACATATGGATAAAGTTTTTTTATTTTTTTTTTTTTCGATACCCTCCGTAATCTGCGCAATGCGAAAATACGCGTGAAAAACCGTTGTCCTCCCATCCGCCAGAGTTCAATGGTTCCAAATCGACAAGGTATTCCAAGCTTCGTCCGCGCGTGTCTCGCGGACGCGTCTGGGATTGAGGCCCTGCCGTACCATAAACCGCACCAAAAACGAGTGAAACAAAAAAAAAAAAAATAATAAATAAATTATAAATATGTACAGGTATCGCAAGGATACAACGATGAAAGCAGATTTCGGTCGACTGCTGTTTGTAAAATATAATGAAAACACTGCCACGACGTATTTGCAATGCACCGCTCCCCTCCCTCCACTCGACGCAGTCCGTATAATATTGTAATAACAGAGAGACGACAAGGTCGATTTCGCGACTGCGCAATTCTTTAATTAATGTACCGGTGAATAATATTTTTGATCCTCGTGTACCAATGTGGATCGACAAAGAGAGGTGCCCTGTTTATTAATAACTACATGTGCGTGTAATGTGGTATTTCAATGAGCAAAGTCAATTATTACGAGACCGAGAAAAAATTACGAGTCGCGTAAAGGGAGGAAGGAATCGAACCACCGAATAGTAGCGTATGAATTATTTATTCCCGTAGCCTCGTGATGCAATGGTTAAACGGTCGTTTCAAGGTGTCGTTTAATGAAAAAAAAAAAAAAAAAAAAGCCGAGAATTCGTCCTCTTGCATCATATTATATGATATTGATGTGCAGGAGACGGCGATGGCGCACATAAGATACACCGAAACGTCGTTTTTCAATAACAGGAAGATGAGGGTTGCCTCATATCATATTGTGCCGTGTAAACATATTATACGATGCCGGACACATTGTAATGACGTTGTTTGATTTCGTTTCGCGTTTGCGTTTTCTCGTATATCTACACTGCACTATCGCGCCCACACGAGAGACACACAAGCGTCTAAAATCGATGTGGTGCATCTAAACAAGGCTATCTCGGTTAGCTCACGTTATATATATTATATACACATTTACGCGTAAGTGTACGTGTACCCACGTAATTTTATCGCACCGTATATAAATTAAAAAATCCCGAGGAACAACTTCAGTTTGTGTTGTTCCCGTGAAAAAAGCGGCCGATTTTCAAAAGTATGTATCGGAGTATAATCGGAATCGGCACTGTTGTATTGTCGAATCTGTCCCAGTGAACGTTGAAAAAATAAAATTTATACAGCAAGTACACAAATCTTTGTAGAAAAAAAAAAAAAACACCATACCGCGACAATGGGAGGGAGAGCGCGTCTCATATGGGGTAAAGTGAACTCAATCGCGGTCACATTAATTTAAACTTACACTTGTAAGATAAAAAAATGTACTTGTAATAATATTGAAAAACAAACTTTTCGTTCATACTCACATAGATACATCGTAGTTGTACTTGTACGCTTATAGATCGGTATATGTATCGAATGCCCGGATCGGATCGGCTTAGCCGTCCGAGGGCGCATGTGCGCCTTGAAATGCACGCAAAGCTGCCGCCAGCGTCGATATGCTGTCTGCGACTCTATATATAATAATACATGGTATATATACAGTGCAGTATAATATATATATAGAGAGAGAGCGCGAGCTGTTTACATTGTGACGTAAGGCTGCTGTGCAGCAGCATATTTATATGCACGGCATGTATATAGCATATATATATATGTACCTACTCATATTATGATCTTGGCATACAAGCCGTACGTCACTCGCGAGAGCCACAGCCAGAGAGAATAGCGGAAGGGTATATTATATGCTGCTGCTGCTGCTGCTGCCGCCGCGGAAGATCGCGGAAGGCCATGGAAGGCCGCGCTCGCTCGTATATATATATATGTGTACTTACTCACCTCGCGATGCGCGCGTGCATCCGATTGACTGTATCATGTATATATGTACATTATTTGATGTGACTCTTCTTCGGTTATCGTAGCCGTGCACTCTCGCGATCATTACATCTCCGTCCCTTTTGCTCCGCTTCCTCTCTCCCGCTATCTTATTTATTTCTTTTTTTTTCCCCCCATATCACTACGCGGTGTATAGCCGATCCGCGTGTCATTTCATTTCAACAAACATCGGAAGGGAGAAGAAAAAAAAAAAAAGGACTCGTGACAAAATAAGATAAAAATTTCATTAGTGTTTAATGAAAAAAAAGAAAAAAAAAAAAAAAAAGAAGAAAAAGAAAAAGGAAAAAATTCGCGGCAGGCAAGGGAAAAGCTTGTAAGCGCAACAAGAACGAGCGCGCGCGAGAGAGAGAGAGAGAGGTACAAGGTGATGGAGATTTTTTTCCTTGCCCGAGGCATGAATTCAAGGCCCTAGTGTGTTTCGAAGGTCCCAAGTGAGTCAAGCTTATTATTGTCAGTATTTTAGAAATGCGCGCTGGGTATACGGCGAGGTGAACGAGACTAAGAGCGCGTGGAGGTTGCCGGGGGTGGCAGGGGGGGACCTAGAGACGGGAGATAAATAATTGAATTCTGATTAAATTGATGCTTTTTAAAGGAAGGTACGCGTTATTGATACGACCTTTTTTGGAATTTCATGTCCATACAACGTTTTCAAGATACACAATTTCAAGCATATATTTGCCGTTTGTATATAGTGGGTATAAAATATCTCAAATTGCACACACACACACACACACACACACACATATATAAAAGATCGAAAGGGTTTCAGACGGGGAAAAAAAAAAAAAAAAAAAAAAAGATCAGCAGTGGATTAGAAGTCGCTTGTATTTTAAGGTTTTCTCGCATTCATCCGCTTAACGCATTGCTTATTCAAGCCGCGTTGATAAATGAAGCGGAGAGACCTTGCATGCGTTATTTTTACCACTTTGCACAGGAGCCGCGAGACATTCGTGGTCTTGATTTTTCGTTTTTCTATTATTCCTCCATCGTCATAATCGACGCTCGGTCATTACGTTTCTTATTTTTCATTCGGAGAATCCGGCGAGTAAATGTATAAAACATACTCTGGATTATCGTGTGACAACCCCACCTCCCCTCTAATGAAAGGGCTTTACAAGACCTCGGAATTGATATTATATACCCAAATGATATTTTTCAAGTCCTTTCGATTTCAAGCAAATGAAACATTTACGCACAACTGATGCAATTTATAAAAGTTGAGTTACCAATTAACTTTATATCAAACTAACATATAATTATATTGATTAAAATAAGTCATTGTGTGTAATTGTAAAGTTGCGACCTAAAATGTTTTGAACCCCCCCCCCCGGTTTCAGCCAAACGCGTACCGGATAGATATACGATTGAAAGTGTCGTTCTGTTTCGATTGGGCAGTACATAATTATATTATACGTATAGTTGTAAGCTCGTTTTGGTATGTGCAATATATATATATAAAAAATAAGGTTGATTGACAACTGCAAATAATGGGTATAGCGTAGAGCCGGGGTGGGTCGAGGGGGGAAGATGGCTCGGGGAAGTAAGTTGGCAATCCGTTGAAAGTTAACAAACAAGAGTGAGAGAGAGAGAGAAGTAAGGTTATGGCTACGCGAGTGCATTAACCCTTGCATAGTGCAGCTCCTGGCAATGCCAGCCACAGAGAGAGAGAGAGAGAGACATACTAAGTATAGATCAGGAGAAACGAAGAGCGCGAGCTGTGCACTTTCTCCGAGCTGCTCGGGCGAAAGTGAGAGGGCCCAACTCTAGCGACTGCATCAGGCCCAGTCCCCCCCCCTCCTTCCTATTTCAAGTGAGCCGCCTTCCCGTGTTATATTGTGGTGGGCTGCTTATATACTTACTGCTTTCACTGACTTCGGCTCTATATATATGCACATCTATCGCTTGCACGTATACTTGCTTTGCCAGAAATTCGCGAAACCTGATGTGTATCATGCCTATGTATATATACCTACACTCCTTTCATTTGAATGACGATAGGCGACGCGACTCTCTGCTTTTGCTTACCGATCGTAAATCGTTAAGTGCTGTATTGAGCGACTCCGAGGCGTCGCTTTTTTTGTCGCACATCAGGTACACCCATTCCTGAATGCGGCCCACGGGCTCATTTTTCTCATGATACCCTTACGCCGTTTATATCCTTACACCTCCTCATTGGTTTGAGCAAAGTTACCCCCCATTTTATTATCACTGGAGGTATACAATTTTCATTACTTTACCTTTTGATCTGTAAAAAATTTTAATTTTTGATTCGTCCATCGCTGATTACTTTTAAAGGAACCACAATTTTTAACGGTTGATCGGAAAGTGGTGTGAAATAAGTAAACGATGAAACAAATTTTATGTTTACACATGTAGAGTATGTATATTTTATTATTTCATTTTTATATGAATATCTAAAATTAACAAATATTTGAAAAAAAAAGAAGAAAATATATATGATATAAAAACATGGTAATCACAGATCAAGGATAAAAACAGCTGAATGCACATCGAGTATAGTACACGTCGATGCCATGCAGTTGCTTAACATCAGTGCTATAACTGACTTGAGTTATCTTACGTGTGGCGTGTATGTACACTTCGATAGGCCTTGTTGTCAATCAATTTTACTAATTAAAACAACTTGCTCGCCTCTTATCAACAACTGCGGCACGTGTCTCTCCAAGGTTTCTAGTTTTCCATTTGTTTGCTTTACGATTAATTTGCACTCTGGTTCTGGTTTGCAATTTTTCTCGGCCACCAAACCACCTAAGAGCATAAAATACACTCACACAATTTGACGTGCGTAATCATCATGTACGCAGAGTAGAAAATTAGTTTTTCACGTAGGATTGATTCAATTTTTCTTTTATTGCAAAAATTTTTTATTTAATTTTAATGTAATCAGCGAATTTCGGTTGATAAAAAAAAAAAAAAAAAAAAAAAGAACAAAGAGAGTGACTAGCGGATAAACGTAAGGAAAACTCGAGCGAAATTTGAAAAGACACTCGCTTAGGGGGGAAACGCTACACGTGCGCGCCGAGCAATCGATAAAACGCGCTTCTTCTGAAGGTCGATGTCGGTGGTTGGCATCGCCGAGCCAACAGCAGTTACACGAAAATTTTTCCCGTATCAACGACCTTTCCGGCCCTCTTGATATTACGTCATCAGTGTTATAACCCTAAACCTTCGAATAAAAGAGGAATGAACGAGAAAAGGGAAAATAATGGTTCGCGTGGATGAAAAAAAAAAAAAAAAATGAAAACGTTTGCTGGTAAAAAAAATAATTTGCACTTTAATTATACACTCTTGTTAGTAATAATATATTTGTTCGAATTCAAATGAATAAACGAAAATCACGACAAACGTAAAAAAAAGTTGATAAGGCTTGAATAAAATGATAAATTTGCATTGTTGAAATAAAAAAAGCAGTTAAAAATTAGTAAATTTAATAAAGCGATGTTGTAAAAATACAAAAGCGCCGAAAAAAAAGGGAGAGGAGAGCACGTAGACACATTGTACGTATGCGTGTGTATAAAAGTAGTCAAGGTCGGTCCTTGCCCCTTGAATTCGCTAGGGAAATCCTCAAAGGTCTTCCGTATATCGCTTTCATTTTCGATCCCTTACTTCTTTTACGGTCATTTATTGCATTACGCATACTTATCGTCAACTTTAATACCACGAGAGCTTTTATTTTTGAAACTTTTATCGTTTCGTTTAAAAAAATTATTTATCCACGACAAAAATTTTTATCTAAAAATCTTTCAGGACAATTACTTTTTTCTGTTTTCTTCTTTTGTCTCTCAGTACATTGGTGTCAACAAATTAAATTCAAATTTCAAGTAAGTTGACTTAAAGAGAAGAAAATTCATAATCCAGCTGATCGATCAGAAAAGTTTTAAGTTTTAAGTCATAAGTTTGGTGATACTTTCAAAAAAAAGGAAGAAATTTAATTAAAAAATCGTGAAAATTCGATCAGAAAATAAAAATCATGTATAAAAATATGCATGAAAAACATTTTGTTAAAATATTAATAAATATCTGTCAATTAAATAAAAATTTTTGTGTCGTTAAGGCTCAAAAATTTAATTATCGATTTTACCTAGTAAATTTAAGACTAATTTTACAACGCTTCAAAATTATCATTAACAATTTGTATCTCCGTTAAAACGATACGTGCAAAGGCATTACACGTTGCGAGGCTAAAATATAAACTTGCAGTCTAAAAAAAAAAAACTCGATGTTTCACGTATGTCATTGTTTTACAGGTGACATTGTTGTCAAGTGGAGCGTGCAAAAATATTTTATGCCAGTCAAGGTTGTGATCTCGGTAAAGTTTTTATTTAACATCTTTTAAAAAATTTATTACTCGCAACACGTATTATTGGAATTAAAAAAAAAAAAAGGAGTAAAACAAAAACCAATTGGGTCAACCATTCACTCAACCGTGAAGTAAATGACAAAACATGAGCTTGAATTTCGGAAAATATTTTACCTGAAGCCGGCGCTTTCCGCTTTATCTTTCTACTCCAAGACTCAAGGCAATCCTCAAGCGCGAGATTCCAATGTCTGTCGAAGGCAGCGACGTACGCCTCTATGTGACCCCTAATGCCGCTTATACTCCTTGTGTAGACCTAAGGACAAGCAAATATTTTCGAGGTTCGTCAAATGTAATGACTAAAGTTAAAATCCCGCGCCGCTTTGGACCTTGATGCGGCTGAGATATATTGCTCCGAGTGCTAAGAATATATAGCGTTTGACTGGCAGAGCAAATACCATTATCACACTTTTTTTGCCACTATCGGTAACAATCGACAGAGGCTTGACTTTTTTTCTAGAGAAATTTTTTTTTTTTTTTTTTTTCGTTTGTTCTCAAATCAAAGGTGAAAAACTATTGGCTAGTAAATATATTGGTTTAAAAAACATTTTTTATCAGCGCGCAAACTGCTTGCGATAAGGGTCTTGAGTCTTGACGGGATTAACCGATTTCGTATGATGTCACACTAAAAATCGTAATCTAAACCGTATGTGATTTTCATTTCCACTGTTTTCGAAACGAATTATGCAACTACAAAATTTCAAAAAACCAAAATTCATTATCTACACCCAAACGACTCAGCGAAAAAAAAACTTTTGTGGAAAAAGCTAAATAATGTGTTTCGAAGGTTAAAAAAATCATCGTGTTACGCAACAAAATTGTGGAATCGTTGGTCAAGATATAAGTTCAAAAAACATGTGTGCCCTAAAAATTTTGTTTACAGTTGATACGCAGAGTAGCGGTGGTGACTCTTTAAAGTTTGGGGGAAAACCATATTTCCTGAGATAACACTTTCTTTCCAACAAATTAGAGATAACATTTTCTTTTCCCATACTTTCAACACGCAGAAATTTTCTCACACTTGCTGTTTCATCACTTTTGTTTTTGTATGAATAGCATTTCACGGTAACTTTTTTTTTTTACACATATATTATGTTATTAAAAAAAAAAAAAAAAAAAAAATTTCAAGTAGTTGTACCTAATTAAGTACGAGGCGTATGTCGAAAAAGTCACTCTTAAGCCAATTACGTGAAAATGACTGAAACAAGTGTACAGGAATGTCACGTACAAATAAATACATATACATATATATATAGAGTGCAAAAGCTATACGTATATACCAAGATATTTTTTCAAATCGTAAAGTGTAGATACGGAAGTTGAAGAAGAAAAAAAAAAAAAAAAAGTTCTTGTAACCTAAGCACAGTATACACATGTACAAGATGAAGGATAAAATGTGAGGGCTGCGCGAAGAGCAGGAGATGGAGCGGGATAGGGTGAAAGGAGCGAGGGAAAATGAAGAGGATAACAATGGCTCGAGTCATTGAACGTGTATAAGCACACATACACACAGGCACGCACGGGTATAGGCCATGTGGGCGAAGTAAGGCGAAGGAAGGAAGGAAGGAAGGAAGGAAGGCGGGCAGGAAGGTCTGTGAACCCAGTCCGAGTGGTGACCTTGCTTCCCTCTTTGCTACGGGGGGAGGGCCACGATTGCCCACGTGCCAAAAATGTTGCTGTGCCTAATTTTTTTTTTTTTTTTTTTTTTTCGCGGCCAAAGAGAGCTCCGGGTGAGCCAAGGGGCGCTCGTTTCCGTGACTACGAGCATTGACCTCCACACGGGGGTGGGGGAGGGGAACCCTTGCGCCACTTAAGCAGCACTTCTTAAGCGCCACTCACGAATTTGTCAATCAATCTTCCGATCTGGCTGATACGTGTACACGCGTAACGTCCATATATTATATGTATGTATACCCTGGGAGAGGATATCTCAGAAAAATCACCGTGAATATCGTGGTGTACGGTACAACGGCCGGCGGATCGGGCTCGTTAACTCCGAGGTGTTTTTTCAAATTGATTAAAAAGTGACAGAAGTGTGGTAATTTTCACAAAATTTACACAACGTATGTACAATAAAAAATTTTTGTTATCGTTAGGCGCGATGGATTTTCGGACAATGAGCTCGTCGAGAGGAACGCAGTTTGCCTACGATTTTTTTTTTTTTTATCGTTCGCGATAATCTTGTGCGGTTGGTATTTGGCAATTATAGAAAAACTTTCAATTTCACTTTATGAAAATTAATTCCGATTACGCATACCTTCGAAATATTGAGCATCGGATGATTTGTTTTTACAATTAATTTTAATCAATGTTTTTGATTGCAAATCACTTCGCAACTTTAATTTGTAACATTCAATATTAAAATTTTTGTTGTCAATGTGGGGTGAAAAATTATCAATCTACTTTAGGCGGGAAGTGTGTACCTCGGCAAAGTGATGTCGTTTACCTACTGTATGTATTAAATTATCATTTTCACAATTTATTATTAAAAAAAAATGTCCCTTTTACAACGAAGCAAGTACTAGATATACAAAATTTTGCGTAAAGGTATATACAGCCCGTTCATGGCCCAAGTAGAGTATGATATACTCGATGAAGCCAGTTAAAGTACAATCAATCGCATGCGCGCGCCCGTTATGTCGCTATACTATTATTATCGAATCAAATGGCTCACCTTTACTCTCGTTCTATTCTCCATGTACTGATAAAGCACTGCCAAGGGTCCAAGGTACTTTTGCATTCGGCTGATGACATTTTTTTCGGCGTACCTCTGCCGCCTACTCTCGTTACCTTTCGTATTTTCTGTTTCTGCGAACAACAATCATCAACACAAGCTCGTTAAAAATTGTAAATATACATACATCCGATGAAACAATTATCTCGTCAGGATCTGCCTTTAATGTATGCGCTTAGAGAGCAAAAGTAAAGAGAGAGAGAGAGAGGAAAAAAAAAATTAAAGTAAAAGCGTCGATAGTAACAATTAGCGAAGAGGTAAAAAACGAAAGTAGTTAAAGTACTTGTGGCTAGTGATTGTTTGTTTGTTTTTTTTTTTTTTTTAAAACGATTAACTTTGGGACGATTTGCGAGTTGCAAAAGTAAAAACAAGTTGGCACGTTAGTGGTGGATGATCCCCAGGTTGAGAGTCGCGCTGCGCTGAGTTCAATGTCCTGGCGGGCAGCGCACTCGCTCTCGAGAGTCGCGAGCAAGCACCTCTCTCAGCTGCACATGCATCGGACTCTCTCGCGCTCGCGGGCGTTCTCTCTCTCTCTCTCTCTCTTGTGCAGCTTACTACTACTACTCCCTTTCTCCTTCGCGGTAGTTGTTGCGCGGGTATACATGTATACACACACGCATACATTCATGCATTGTACATAGAAATATATACATATACTGTATGCCGTCACGTGGCGCGAATTCTCCTTTGCTCTCTTGCTCCGCCTTGCAACGCTCGCGTAACTAGTCGCTGAAGTACAGTTATATTCCAGTAACTCGGGGCCCTTCGGCCCTTTGCTAGTCCCGCCCACACAGAGCCATTGTCCTCGAGTTAACTCGGCGACTTGACGCAATCTATCCGTGTATATAATAATACAGATGCACGTGTGTGTATCGTCGGAACAACTTCCATCCCATCCCCGGAAATTCCGAGAGGCATTTACTGACTTACTGCACATCATGTGTGTATTATCCACCAGCGATTATTATTTTGCATATTAAGAAGACCAATGAAGTATACCGTTCATCCCATCCCTTAAGTGTACTAAAATAATAATGATACGCGTAGAAATTTTCGTTCATCTTTTGCAAAAGCGTGAACTATGGTCGTGCGTGTAAGAGATAAAATTTTACAAATGCAGTGCGTTACAATTGCAATTTCACTTGTGTTTATCGAAAAATAAGCTTAAACGAATGACGAGCTGTTTAACGTCCAAGAGGGAGAGAGAAAAAATTTTGCAATGAATACATTATACTTATTAAGTAGGCTACTAATTACACTACGGAGGAGGCGAGAGAAGGAAGGCACTCTCATATTTTTGCTGCTAACTCTGCCTGGCCATCAGGCCGTCGACCTCAACCTTATACGAACACCGGGTGCTTTTTTTTTTTTTTTTTTTTTTTTTTTTTTACTTTCAACGACTTTTGTTACTCGCGTAAAACGGATGCTTACAATTTTTGCGCTCCATCAAACCTTTACGAAAAATACACCATTCGGAATGGTCTGACCTATAATGCCAAACAGCATAATTGATAAACGCGATCGTGAAAATCCGCGGAAAAGGTAAGTATATATAGTTATGCAAATAATAAACGCGCAACCACGGCTGATGTGATTGCGATGAGTTAATATGTGTGATGTGTATGCTTAAGTAGTAATCGATCGGTAATTAAATTAATTAAATGTAACAACAATGAGCACATGGGAGAGAAAGAGAGGGAAAGCTGCAGGAGGAGATGGGAAAAAGCGGAAAAACTGTATGATGCTGATGGCGTATGGGTGTATGAGTGCTCTTCCTCCTCCTCCTCGTCGGACAATTGCCTGTGCTACTGCTGCTGCGGCTGTTGAGTCTCTCACAGCCGAGGTCGACGTCCGGGCGTCAAGCGTGCAACAAGTGCTGCACTCCGCTCTCGCCGTGGTGCTGCTGCATGTAAGGTGTATATAGGTATATGTATATATATATATATACATATACACACCAGCAGCTGCTATATTCCATGCACTGCATTTCTCTCCCTGTGTATGTAACGCGCGCATCTCCATCCCTCGCTCGCTCGCTCGCCTCCTCAACCCCCTCGCGCGCACACGCATATATATATATATATATATATGAAGAGGCTGTGCTATGCGAATGTGCATAAATGCGCTTAGGCCCTTAGAGTAATTATAAAACTCCACTGGGTCAGGAATCGTTCTCTTCATTTATGTTTGGCGCCTCGCCAACGGCTCAACTATACTGTCAACCGTGCAAACGACAGATTTCGCCGGCTCATCGTTTACCTTGTTTTTCTCCTTTTGTTTAATTTTTTTCGCTCATTTTCCACTGTTTTTTTTTTTTTTTTTTTTTTTTGCGATGCTCGTTACATTTGGGTGTAATGTGTATGTGAATTTAATTGATTCTAAAAAAAAAAAAAAAATAAATAAAATAAAAAAATGTAAAGCATAATTATAAACTGAGAAGTTAAGGTTGGAAATATAAATTTTTCTCAATGGAGTTATATTTTATTTGAGGTTTACAGAGGAAGAGACTAAGGTGGTGGTGCTCATCTCCGAAGTCAAAGACGCAACTGTTACCGAGAATAATTTCTCGGCTCACGTTTACTTGAATGATAACGTATATTATAATATAATATCAAGTACTTACTCTCGAAAATATTTATAATCCTTGCTTGAAGTTACTTGCTTAGAGAAAATCTTTAATTTAATAAAAATTTAATCTTTAAATTTTTAATTACAAAAGGAATGCATACTATTCATTACATTTCAAAGCGCGCTCCAAAAGCAGCGTTGCCAAGTCGTCTGCTGCGAGCACATTTTTGCTGTTTTTTAATAGAAATTTGTGGTAGGGCTCTCTCAAACTTTGACAAAATATTATTTTGACAATATTCTTTCATTAAAAAAAAAAAAAAGCAAGTTCATTTAGCCGTTTTTTTTTATGTGAAATTTAAGTGATTTCTCCATAAGCCTACATGTTAAAATATTGTTTTTTCAGGTCAATATATCTTGAAAACGGTGTGGTTAAACCCTTCAAAAATTTAGCTGTAATTTGATACTATTATCCCAAACGACATATCGAAATTTCAAAAATTTTCATCATAAAAAATTATCACTACCGAACCTCCTTGCGCGCTATTTAAATAGCGCGCCTATTTATATATATCATATTGCGCGAGGAGCTGTACGATTTGTTTTGATTACCGCGCCCACATAACCTCTAATCCGAGTTTACTCGAGTAAAATTGTGTTGTTTACCTTTGAGAAACGGGAAGCGCTCCGTGGGTTCGATGTTTACCCCTTTGGAAGCTTGACTGGTGCTGGCCTGCTTATCGCTCGGCTGAAAAATGATATAATTTGAAGTTTGGTGGCATCAATGAATTCGAGCGACACTGCACGCACATACAGACAGACCTTGATGCCCTTGAGAACGACGGACTCGAATTTGTTGATGTTGTCAAAGAGCGGCGCATCGGGTACGGGTACGCGGAGCTTGCTCGAGTAGAGTGCTTTGAGCGAGTCGAATTTATCACTTAAAACGTCGGTGCTGTCGCTGGACGTGCTGTCCTCATCCTCGGCCATGTTTGCACTGATGACCAGGGATGGGAAATTGCTATGAAAAGGTATTTATGACATGTCACGTGTCAAATATGTCATAAATGTCATTTATGTCAAAAATGTAATAAATGACACAGACGTTTGGAACGTGTTTCGGGACGCGTTCGAATATTATCGTTCGTTTCACAATCATGCAGTTTGAACTTAATACTAAATAAAACAGCATGTATAGTGTTTGTGTGGAGGTCTTCCTTTGTCACTCATTTTACGACAAAATTTTTAATTCCGCTTGCCTTAAACCTGTGTCCCGCGTACTTATTAACTTATATTTTTGTTCTTGAAATTTCCACAAGGAAGAAGTTTGGTAGTATAACGCTGTATTTAAATGGTAAAAAGTTTTAACTCGTGTCGCGAGTCGTAATACTCGCAATTCGGCCAAAAGAATACTAACCTACCCTAAAAAATACAAAAAAAAATTCACCGTGTCATAAAGACATGAAATGTCATTAATTGAATATTTTTGACACGTCATAAATTCAATTTATGACACAACATTTATGCACCTGCAGTTATCCATAGGTATATTATACTTATACCTACTCATTTCGTGTGAAGTGTTTAGATTTTCTCCTTCTTTCTCTCTCTTTTTTACTCACTCGCTTCCTTTTGTACATTTGGTGTACGAGCGGTTCCACCATAAACCATACACTTTAGAGTTTCCTTGAATTGAACAAAAATGTATTTGCTACCTCCGAGCGTTTGCCGTATCATTTATACGTTTACTGCGTCCTTGGTAGGAAAAAGTAGTGTTAGCCGCACAAGTGCCATCCAACCGGGACTGCAGTACAGTGGAACGCAAAATAGTCCCGGCGGCTATGGCACTTTAGTGACGAAAACAATATTAAATGCATAGCTTCAATAAGAATAAAGTATGCTCTACTCTGCTCTGCGTACGTGTAGATGTCGACGAATCTCTAGTTTTGTGCCCGAAAAAACTTGAATGTATGGGAAAATTGGTTAATAAGATGGCATACCTAAGGTATATTTTCCAGAATGTCAAAACATAAATTTCAAGTTTATCCTCGAGTTGGTCGACTAATTATTTTTTTATTCAGAATAAGCTCGATATCATACCGAGTATAATATTATCCCAAAAATAACGAAAAAAAGACAAAATTAGTATTCGAGCCGAAAAAGCTCAAAAACGTGCGTCTTGTCAAATCCCAGGGTAGTATGCGCACGGAAGATGTCAAAATCGTCGTCCCAGAGATGTAATTACTTACGTAGAAAAAAAAAAAAAAAATGTTCATAGACCCCTCCCCCTGCATACAAAATTTTCACCCGCGACAGCTCGTGTACGCGCACTCGCCCATCCCTTTACATATTCACACGTTGTTTTTTTTCTCCGGTTCCCATCAAATTTCAACTCCCGTTCAGGCTGATGCTATATACCCTACATATATGTATATCGTTAAAATTGGCAAGCGCAAAACTTGCACGAGGTGTGGTGTAGGCACCCATAGACAAGAGTTAGGCGTATACCGGTAGATGGGGCGGACAAGAGGGGATGAAAAACTTTCTTCTCGCGCGCCGCAGCAACACACATAGACGACGGAGGCTCTCTCGCGCTTACGTAAAAGCGCTCGCTCGCGCGGGGCTATTAGAAATGCGAGCCGAGAGCGCGGGTTACGAGCGCGCTTTCAGGAAGTGAAAGAGCCCACAGGCCCCTGCCGCTGCACCGTGCTATATACATGTAAACGCGCGAAAGAAAGTTTTCACTCTGCATGGCGTATGTTTTGTATATCTATGTACGATATGCTTTATTTTCACTTTCATGGAATATATATATATGTACAATGCAATACTATATACATATATATATATACTTACGTATATGTACATTGCACGGAGAGAGGCGAGAATCGTTTGCTGTCGTATATTACTACTCCGGCAAGTTGATGAACCGAACGGCATCACCGCGGCTGTCGTCATAATAACTTTAATCATCCTCATCTCCTGATGCGTTTTGGACAAAAAGCTCTTAGCTCCGATGCAAGTTTATTGATTTGAACGGATCTGTAAGATAACCGATACGCGTATTGGAATAGGCAATGAACGATCGATGGATCCCATGTTTGGGGATGGATGATTAATGCGTGGGTGTGTATCTTTTGTTTTGCAGGAGCTCGGGTGAGCCGTTGGCGACGAGTGTTACCCGAGGAAGGCCGCCAAGGGGAGGCAGTTGCGGGTAGACTACACGACGCAAGGGACGCCGAGCTGCCGGCCGGCTTCGGTCGCCGTGAGGGGACACGAGTTCGGATGCCAGGCGGCGCGGGGGTGGCTAGACAAGCCCCGCCGCAGGCCACGGATCCCGATGCCGGTCCCCATATCCCAGGCCCTCTCGCTCACCTCGACCCTCGTCCCCAAGGAGGAGTCTAACATGCCCTTTATAGACGACGAGTTGCTCTGGTGCCCCGACAACGACGGCAAAATGGTCGATCTCACCCAGTGCCTTCAGGTTCGTACGTTCCGGTCTTTTGACCCGATACATCATTATAATTATGTACGACTCCCTTCCCACTCGATACCCTTGTTGTGGGGTTATTGTACACAACCCTCTTTGGTATACTTTCATGTACTTACTTTGGTATAAATTCATGCATTGCAAAAACCGTTGGTTGTGATTGACTACTAAAATTTCGGGGGATGACAGGGAAGATGATAGAAATGCGTTTGAGATCAAGGGAAGGAGACGTGAGTCGCGAAGGGGGTAGAAAAAACGGAATTTGCGTGCGTAAAGTTGACGTGACACGTTTCAGGAGAGCAGCACGGGCCAATCTGTGGAATTCTCGTCGTTGGAGCTGAACGCGCTGGTGGGCGGCCCCGCGAACGCAACGGCCGATGGTCCCGAGGCCATGCCCAGCTCGAACGTCACCGGCGCGAACAGTGTGGCCGGTGGTGGTGGTGGTGCCAACGGCAACGGTACCGACGAGCCCTTCGACACTCTGGACACGTTTTTGAGGGAAATCCAGGCCGATCTGGCCGCCGTCAACCAGCAAACGCCCAACTCGTACAGGCGCTCCAAGTACAATATCGTCGCTGCGAATCCGTTGCTTGCAGGTATCGTATATACACGTTGTACCTTATTGTTATTGTTCCCTTTTGTCATCTACCAAAGAAGCCACGTGATGCACGAGTGTCAAAAAATTTTAAGCAAATTGTGAGATTTTGCTTACACTAAATGTTAAGTTATTTCACACACTTTTTATTCAGCACTTGGCATGGTACAGACAATTTTTTTTTTTTTTTAATTTCAGAATAAAAGCTCTTATGAAAAATGTCTTATGTTTCTTTTTAGAAAAATTAGCGACACCTCCAACGCAACCGTCATCAACGATCTCGTATCCAACGAAAACGGAAATAAAAACGGAAAACATTCAATCGGAGTCGAGCAAAGGTATGATTTTTTTTACTGATTTAAACTATACTTACGGTTAATATCCAAATCTGGCCTGCATTGAGATACTGATTACTTACAGTTGAAATGAAAAAAAGTGATCATTTTAGGAATGTTCGCTCGCCGACCAAAAGCTGGTTTTGTTTGAAAGGTTGCACTCTTTTTAGTCGGTAAAGTAGGTTGTGTTTAGGTCGGGTAGGTAGGATGCCAACACAATTGAGATGATGGTCTCTACCTTGCCTGCATCATATGCAGTAGTCGATAAAGTAGATAACTAGTACTAACTTTGATGGTAAAGACAAGAGTCGATTTCTACCCATACCATCAGCTGGCTCAAAAGGTAATAAAAAATCTAATCACACGTTGTTTACTGTATACAACCTATTTAATTGAAAAATGCGGAATAATAATGCCAGTTTCCCTACAATAGTAAAGTATTAAGTCAATAGAATCAGTTCAAAATATTTTAATAGCAAACGGTTGAATCTTAAACTACATTTGGGTCTCTTACCTCAATATCTTTTCGAATTATAGCATTTTGTATTGAAATATGAAAATAGTCAATAAAATTCGTCATAAGAAATATATCAATTTATCTGGCTATTACTAAAAGTTATATTATCCTTCGATTACTTACGAGTTCAAAAAGTTATTAGGATTTTTTTTTTTTTTTTTTTAATTCGTTAACTGCTAACTTTTAATTAATTTAGTTGTCAAAAAGCGATTCACAGTAGTTTTGTGATAGAATAGATAGAGATCAAAACTGGAACCCTCTATACCGCTCGATTACAAGTTTATAATTTGAACTAACAAAGTACACAGAACACCTTTAAAAATTTTCAACTGTAACAGTAACACTAAAAAATAATTTTAACTAAATTTTTAAATCAGTGTGTTGTGCAGAAGTGCAATTTAACAATTTTTTTTTTCTAAACCTTTAATTTTTTTCACAAAGATAATTAAGAATATTTTATAATTTTTTAAATAAAGTATTTGCCACATATTAGATCTTTAAAATTATTGTTAGCACACCTTAATTTATCTCTAATGTACACGATTAAATCGTAGAAAAAAAAAAAATCGTAACTTTTGAATCGACCAAGGAAACTAAAAATTTTCAACATCACATCAATATAATTAGTCGAAGAAATCCTGATGTGACAGTGATAAGTTGACTCTACGCACGCACTTGGACGCAAACCCACACAGACGGATATTTCTTTAAGACCATAAAATATGTTTGTTGTATGCTTTTAAGAAAATTATATAAATCTTCGTCTTCGAGATCAATACAAAATATTGAGTGCCAAATGAACAGTAAATTAGATCAACGAAGTATAAAAAATATGAACTGCAATTAGTATTTGTATGCGAGGTAATTGGAAGGTAAGCGTTTGGTCGTTTTGGCTCTGATTTCGTTGTTTCATTGTTTTCTTTGCGCACCAAGTAATTGTACCTATACCGCACTGGGGAAAGTACAAGGTTCATCGGGATTCGTATGTAAGTTATATATCAACTGAAGAAATTACATTGTAAAATTGTACTACGAGTTTTTCTAGTATATTTTATAGGAAAAAAAAAATTAATTTATTTCGTACGCATATTAATTTACGAATGAAAATAAAAAATACATGCTCGCTGTGCTTAAAAACAATTTAGTCTCCAATTCGTAAAAGCAACAACAACAACATAAAAAACAACTTTCAATTCGTGATGGTGAAAAAAAAATCTTGTGTTTATTGTCGAAGCCTTTGCAAAACTCGTACCAAGAATCGGAAATAGACATTTTATCGAAAAGAAAACCGGCCAAGGTCTTACTACTTCCACGCTTCGTGGCTCGATTAATTATGCTTATGGAGAAAAGTTATGCGTATTGGCGGTGGTTTCATGCAAACAGTCGTTCGTACTCATCCTGATTTTTTTTTTTTTTTTTACAACTTTGTTAATATCATCGTCATTTTGTCTTGAAGAGTAACAATAACGTTTATATAGTACATCGACATGGTGCATTTCGTCAAGTACACACATTATTCGATATGAATCAACTTTTACACTTGTTTGGTAATTGAACGTATCTTTAAATAATTTTTTTTTTCCATTCACCTAATCACTCAATCGTCTGGGTTTAGTCTGTAAAAATTTTTCCTCAAAGTAAAACATACTAGAGCGATACAATACAACATATGAAACATTTTTCCAAGTGATGGCTTCATTTTACCTGATTCTTTTATAACATTGATTTTAGACTCGTTGAACATCGAGCTTTCCCTCCTTCTTTAACTATGAAAATTCAATCGGCAGCCGTTGGCCTAGTAAAGTTGGTACGAAATATCAATTTCTCGTCTCCCTGTAGGCCAGCGGAAATGAATTTTTCTCGGACGCGGCTTAATTCAAAACTTTCTAGGAACTCGTCCGGATGATGAAAATTGCAAGTCAAATCCCAACTTCGATTGACTTTATACCGAGCGAGTTTATCAAAAACGAAATACTGGGGCTTAGAAGAGGATCGATTTCAGCGCGTGTATGCTAAAAACGCGATTTCCGCTGAAACTGCACCATTTTCCGTTTGTTCATAAAAATGACCAACATTAAAAATAAATACTTGTTTTTTTCTCGCAGAAAAATCGGAAAAAGAAGGGAAAAAAATGTAATTTCACAGTGAGCTGAGTTTTTGTACCTGCCATGCACACACTCGGACTTCTTCACGCACGGAAACGTGTAATAAGCAACCGAGACTGATCTCACTAATCACTTTCGCTGTGGCTGTATCGCGGAACTGGGTAGCCGGCTCTGCTTTATTCCCTCCAACTCGTTGCCTTTCATTATACATATATCTATTTTTTTAGTCGTTTACGTGCTCAACGTGATCATACAGCGTGTAAGAAGTCAGTTTTCCAAGGCGATTTTCTGCAAAAGTGCCTCTTTGCCTTCGCACTTTTCACTCAAACGTATATTAATATAATGGACGCTAGAGAAATTTGGCCTAGTTCTAACTTTTTGTCGGATTTCTTTTCGCTTCATTATCATTTCTACGATAAAAAAAAGCTGCGCTATGTGTGTTTGAATTTTTTTTTTTTTTTTTCACGGTGTAATCTACACAACCTTTTTTTTGACAACTTTTGTTTTATACAAAATTTTAATAAAAATCGAGGATTTCTCAAATCTTCTAGATTTCTAATGACTCGTTATTATTAAAAAAAAACTTTTTTAATGCATTTTTAATTATGATGGTGATGTACCCTGTAAATTGAATATTTTGCCTCTTAGTAACGTATCCTTCACCAAATTAACAAATTCTATTACATTTGGAAAATATATCAAGCGCTCAAATACTGTTTGGTAATGTAGTTGTCTATGTGAGTGTGCACTTGAAATCGGACGAAAGACCAAAAAATTTCGATCGATTTAATAAAGTAATTAATAACATAAATTCGATTTTAATAAAATTCCTGTTTCCCTCTTGTGGTAAGAAATTTGTTTAAGTCGTCGATCAAGATCACGCGTGCCTATGGACATGTTGAATCTTCTTTAAAACTCAATGTAAAATTGTCAAGAAATGTATTCGTGTTCGGTATGAGGAACATTTTATTGGCCGATTGAAAACGACGACAGCGAGTCGTAACGTAACACATCGGAGAGCGCGAAATCAAATGGAAAAAAAAGAGCTTCCCAGCTAAGACTATGTGTCCGTGAGTCGAACGAGAACGTTCGCTCGTACTTTTGCAAGCTGTAGATGGTATGGTGTGCGTATATATAGTTATACGAGTGCATGCGCGCGCGCGCGCGGATGAAAAGGAGACCGGAATGTTGACATTTTCTGCAATGGGGTCAGGGACTCGCACGCCGTATTACTCTCGCTAGCTGGCTAGCTCTTTTATATATATATACGTGCTACCTGCGCTCCGTTCGATCGCCACTCTATACTTTGCACTTGTGTCGCTCTTAAATCCCGGCTTTCGTCATCGGTTGCAAGCAAAAGGGATTACTTATTGCTTCTTCTTCGTTTCTCGTACAACGATTTACTTCCTTAGACCGAGAATTTTCGTTGCTTTTTTTTACCATTGGTTTTTCTATGGTTATTCATTTCTATATTGTCTACTCGAGGGTTTTACTACTTTACCCTCAAATTGCATGTGAATAACATTCTTTGGACATTAGATTCACTATTAAGAAATAGTGACTTTTTTTTTTCCTGATAAATTTGAGACTTGACAATCACTACATATATATTTTATTATCAACAGCTTGAAAAATTATTATTTTTTTTTTTAATACAAATACTTTTTTTTTCTACGACATTCCGATAATTTTTTATTCATTTGTGTGTACATTTTTCGTGGTGTAGTACTTAACAACTGAACGGATTATCATGAGAGTAATATATTAATTACGCGGTTGAAACGAAGCATTGATATTACAACGTAAAGTATATCAATGCTATAATGTGTTGTGTTGGACGCGCTTCGTTCTAATCTAATTATTATTGTAACTTCTTTTTGTTATTCCAAGTTGCTCACGACACGAGATAATTTTTGAAATCTTTGATAACTTTCAATTGAAAAACCGCAATATTATTACAACGTAAAGTATATCAATGCTATAATGTGTTGTGTTGGACGCGCTTCGTTCTAATATTATTATTGTAACTTCTTTTCTTTCAATATAATATAATCCGAATGGTCCGAAAAAAAAACACAAGAACGTCACTAAGTTATAAATCACAAATAATCACAGACTTTCGTTGGTGGCTCGAGAAGAGACGGTACGTGTATGTATTTGTGCACGCACGCATACAAGGTGTCCAGTCGAATATGAATGGAGGGTAGGGGATAGGGGGATGGATGATGATAATCCCCCGCTGGGTCGAGGCGCCAGCGTCGTCGCCGTCTCTTCCTCCTCCTCCAGCGGCTCTCGCGATAGACGCTCCGGCGATCTGTCATCCGGCGGATGCCTACTCCACCACCACCTCCTCTTCCACGTGACTGTGGCTTCCCTTCCGGTTCTACTGTTCTGGCGCTTGCAAGGATATCCGTCGATGATGCTACTCCCAGCCATTCTCCTTGATCATGTGGGCGAGCTCGATTATGAACTTGCCCTCTTTGTACTTTTGGCTCGACTCGAACGCGTGCTCCTAAGCAAACGACCACTCTTTGGTAAGCATGTACTTATCGATAGATCTGTTGTTTGCCCCACGCGATTCACGAAAATAAACAATTAAATGACAACGTGAACAAACCGCTTGTATGTATAATATAAGGTAAATACCGCGAAGAGCGCAAAATCTCTCGGACCGAGCTGGAGCGTGGCCAGGAGGCGCCGACAGCTTTCGCAAACCGATGCCGACAATGTTATAATAATAATGAAAATCGGTTGTAGGATTAAACATTGTTCTTACGTATTTCCAGCCGAGGGTCGTCTTGCAGCACTCGCAGTAGATGTCGGCGACGGAGTGCAGACCCGTCAGCAGGATGCGCTCCTCCGAAGGCCCCGTACCGACGTTCACCCTGTAATTGTCGCGGTTGGGAGGATTGGTATCGGCAACGACGAGAGTGTGAGGGCGTTTTTTTTTNTAACCAATCACTCAATAAATAGAAAAGCTTCAGTCACGTGGCAAAATAAATGTTTTCTTTCACACGTATCTGTGTTTTTCGCAATAAAAATTCTCACACCTCCTATTTGTCATATTCATGAATTCGGTGTATACATTTTTAGTAGTAAGAGGTTGTTACACCTACGCGGCTTATTGTAGGTATATGTATGCCTCCGTTGAAAAACCAAGACGTATAGACTCGCGGTCGTTTCTGCAGCGTTTGATGTGCAGAAGAATCAAAAGGGGCCTGATACATTATATATATGACGTGTCGAACGAGCAATGTACGGAGCGGGAGAGGTGTATATATATATATATATATATATATGATGGTTGTTGGGATCGGAGGGAGAGGGAAGGAACGACATTACTCTGTAACGCAATGGGCGAGTGTTACATCAGTGAAAGTGTTATGGCAATGTAGGCCGAGGCTAACTTGTAAGTTTGGTCCGTCCGAACGCGCAGAAAACGACGGCACCGCGAGGAATGAACAACGATTTCGATTACGTATATGTGCACACCCATGAAAATCAGCGATACGCTAATAATACATAATATACACCTATCCGGAGGAAAGACGGGCGCGTTGTTTGCACGGCTACACACCAGGTGCACTCTTTCATCGCGCTTGAAAAATGTAATTCAAACAGTATAATATAATCTATACCTACTCATTGTTTTGGTTATCTCGGCGCTATCTGACACGCTATCGGTTATGAATGGAACGAGCCGAAGGAAAACAGTTCTCACGCGGGAACAACAATATTCGAGCGTATCTGTTTTCCTGGTCTGTTATCGAGCCACTCCAGTTGTTCAAACAGCACAATTGCATCGTAACTTTTTTTGTTTTTTTCAAACTACATGTATGAATGTTCGAAATGTGTTTTCCCCGATAGGTCTTATCCAAAAGTTGGAAAATCTTATACGGGTATCAGCTTTACATGCTGCGAAAAAAAAAGCACGGTAAAAGTAAGCAAAAATTAAAATCAAAATCCCTTATGAACGACGGTTTGAGGGGGTATTTAATCGTCAAGTGGTAAAGTGTAGTAAAAGGAGCCGTAGGGAAATATAGCATCAAGGAAAATGGAAAAAAAAAAAAAAAAAAAGAAAAAAGAAAAAAGAAGCAATTCTAGTGGCTCGAGAATTTCCACATTGCCTGCACGTCGCGAGAGAGAAAACAAATAAGCACAGCTCGAAGGCCTGACTAGCCAACGTCTATACACACACACACACACACACAAGCTACAAAGTCGTCGAACTCAATCGCGAGGTTGCGAAAGCGGCCAATAGAACCCGGCGCTCCGTAAAAGTGTGGGTATAATTATATATATCCATCGGGATCTCCGCGAGAGAGCGACGAGAAGAGCCAACTCAATGCAACTCGGCGATGTAACAAACAAGTAATAGGTGATGCCTAATCGACGACTTTCAGTCTCGGGTTGGCGCTGCACATGCGCTTTGGCCGATACGATCCTCTATCCACGATATATAAGTATCCAAGACCTACATATCCCACATGCTCGCTAATACATATATATATACCCCCGCAACCCGCGCTCTCTCGTGTATACCTGCTTCGCATAATGTGTGTAGATACATGTATACCAACGCGTGTGTACGCAATGTGTTTATACTACATGCACGTGGTTTATACGATGTTTCCACTTTGTTGCAGTCGCGGATAACCATTAGGCTCTTTGAAAGCATTCCCACAGTCGTGTCCTTCGAGCTTGCTTTTCTGTGCAAAAGTGTGCAAGGGAGAGGGGGGGGGGGTCTAAAAAAAACCTACGCGCTTTCATACCTACCTGAGCTTGGAAGCCATTTGGGGGTATTTCGTTCTTTGGTCCTTTGACGCTACCGGTTATTGGAAAAAAATTGCTCCGGTTTGACACTCCACGAAACATCTTTTTCGTTGATTCGACTATAGTGAGGGCGCGTCGCCGAGTGAAGCGAAATTCAAGGGCCACTTGGAACCGTTTGAAAAAATAATTGTGACAAAGGTCATCAAGTGGAACTATAAAAACGTGTTTAAAATATTCGGGGGATAAATTAGCGTCTCTGAGAGTTGGGTAAAAAATTGCGAAGCTGAAAAATATTCATCTAAAATTTTATCTGAAAGCATTACTGTGCACTCATAGTTTTTTTTAAAAAGACTGTTGCCTGTATTATAAAAAAAAAAAAATCTGGCCTAGAACTCTCGTGTCTGCGATTGTTGATTGCCTGTTAGTTTATTCACTGTTTTTTTACCTTGCGTTTTACAATGTAAGATACACTACACATTTTAAGATATCAATTTTTATGGAGATGCATAAGACGTTTTTGGCTAGTTTTTATTTATTTCTGTCCAGTGAAATTTTTTTTTTTTCGTTGTGAACGGACAATAAACCATGAAAAACTTATGTTTGAAAAACGTGAGGATCGCAATCCATTCTACGAGAAAAATTTTAACACTTGAAAGACACGATTTCAACGTAAAGTATATCAATACTATAATATGTTGTGTTGGACGCGCTTCGCTCGATCTAATTATTATTGTGACTACGTTTAATGTCATATTATTCCAAGTTGCTCACGACACGAGATAATTTTTGAAGTCTTTGATAACTTTCAATTGAAAAGCCGCAATATAATTTTATTTTTAAATTTTATAAAACATTTGATTAACTTCATTCATAAACATCTTTTTATCTATTTTTTTTTTTTTTTTTTTTTTTTNTTTTTTTTAAAGAAAATAATCAAATGGATGAAAAAAAACACTCTGGATCGTTTTCATGGTGTTAACTCATTTAGTTTTAACTAAGTGATTTGTTATAACCAATCACTCAATAAATAGAAAAGCTTCAGTCACGTGGCAAAATAAATGTTTTCTTTCACATGTATCTGTGTTTTTCGCAATAAAAATTCTCACAACTCCTATTTGTCATATTCATGAATTCGGTGAACACATCTTTGATCGTTAAGTCGAACGAGCACGAGCTATTCACACCAGTAGGTTGTACACCCACGTAGATTACTATGAGTTGAACCTAAAGTAATAATTATTATTGATGAATCATCTCGAAATGAGGGGAACTCTGTAATAAAATGATTTTTAAAAGATACTAAAACAATGCTTTATTTTAAACAAACAAATATCCAATGCTATTAAATAATTTGCTCTGTTTCCATAACTGATCAAATTCATTCTCTAATGTAACTATTAACTTTGTTTAAATAACTTGAGAATAGTATTTTTGCCATTTCCAAGCTAGGTATTACCGATTGTATCACCGATATTTCAAAAAGTTGGTACATAAATTTACTTTTATATCACAAGAATCAACAATTTCTTATTATTGTGCTGCGCAAAAATAAGAAGTATATATTATAAAATCGGAAAAGAATCGATAAAAAAAATATTTCATTAGCTTTTTTTTTTTTATTTATCAACATTCAACAACCCTCCTGTACTCGTTAAACCAATGTCATTCTTGACGGACTTCAAAACATGGTCTCTTTTCCTGTACGCAACACCAACGTCAATCCTCATTCTCGACGTATATACAGTATTGGACGAGATGAGCGAGTTGAAAGGGCAAGAAAGTTTCATGCAGCGTATCTGCCTTCCTCCCTCCCCGTACATACATAAAATAAATACACCCAACGCAGCGGCGACGAATCGATAAGACCGTCCCAGACGTCCTTCAAGGGAGCACATACCTCCCCTTTATTTGCGAGGGCAAGAAAATAAGGTAAGCCGCTGCAGAGCGGGGCACGACTTCCCCCCCCCCTCCTTGCTTCGCTTTCTCCGTGGGATTATCGCCACTTTTTTTGCTCCTTCCTTTTTCTCGCGTGACTCCGTACAATGACACGCCGCACGCTTTTTTACGTTTAATCACCAGGCAGTGAAAAACAACTGCGTACTTTTCTCTCATGGATGAAAAATAGTAGTTTTCCTACGAGTTTGAAAAGTCTCTGTTTGCGAACCGAGAGGTTTGCGGCCCGAGCCAAAGGCGAGGGACGTAACGAGGTTCGTAAAGGAGACTTTTCGAACGAGTTCCGGAAAACTGCTTTTTCGCCCGAGGAAGTACCAGCCTCCCAAAACCACCCGAGGGCGGAAAAATAATTTCCTTCAGGAATCGACGATCGCGCGTTGCGATGACTGAGAAAAACAACAACCCTTAGACGTGCATCTGGAACTACGAAATACTTCGCGATGTAAGCAGTAGTGCTCGATGGAGACACGAATTTGGTTTGGTGATGGTTAAAGTTCAACGAGAAGAGAAAATGGGTGGGAGGGAAAAGCTCCGACGACAACAACGCGAAAGCCGGGGCACGTCTAGACTCCCCTCGTATATATCGGATGCGTAAATACCGCGGTTGTATGGAGGGGGGGGGTAGATAGGTATACGGAAGGGCCGACGCCCCCCTTCGAGTTCGCGGCGTGGGCGTGCGCCGAAAGGCAAGAGGTCCCCCCCAACGCGCTCGATAACCCCGAGAAGAGAGTCAAGGTCACGGTCACGAGTTGTCGCTGCGCCGTGTGTCGCAGCATATACGCCGATGACTCGCTCGAGTGGCCCACCCTCCCGAGCCACCCCCTAGACTTTGTCCCTTAATTCGTGCTCCTATGTCCTCCAGCCCCTTCGACTCCTCTGCGCGTTGTACATGGGCTCCGCGAAATCGGTTCGTCGCCCTTTCAGCCTTGGGTTCTTTGCCGAATTTCCCGCGCCCTCCTCACGCTCGCTCCCCGAGTGTGTGTATATACTTATACGCTTTTATGTCCCTACTTTTCACACAAATTTTTGCTTTTTTCCATATCTCGCTTGTCTGCCCCGCCGAGTTTCTACGGTGGAAAAAAAGTTTATTGCTCTCGCGAAGTTTCATGGTGGTGTACATATATACGTACGCGCAGGTACTTTCGGTAGAGAACGTTGACACCACGAAATTTGATGTAGTTGATCAAACGTATTTTTTTGTAAATTTTGAAAAAGATTATAACAACGTGATGTTGAAGCAACTTCGTTGACTAAAGCTATAGGTGCGGCCTCGCCATCACCGAGAGATTCCATTCTTTCAATCAACAACGATTTCTTTACCCTCGTTCTTTCAATTGT